ACCAACAGGCGGCCGAAAACGCCCCAGCGGCATTTCTGGACGTGCAGAAGGCGAGCATGACGGACGACCCTGGCGTCATCGTCGGTAACGTGGTCAAGGCCGTTGATACCGTTTTGGGCGAGTGGTATCCCCACCTTTTGCCGCTTTGGGCGACGTTGACGGATGTGAACAACTTCGGGCCGACGATAAAGGTTATCCTCGACGAGTGGAAAGCCCTGGTCGACCTTCTCGCTTCCACATGCAAAGGGAAACGGTCGACGAAGGAAGCTACCAAGTTCACCGTGGCGCGCTTCCAGAGATGGGAAGGGACTCTCCGCGGATGGATGAGTGACGACGTCATCCAGAGGGTCATGTTCGGCCTCCAGAGCGTGGAGCGTGGCAAACACGAGTTGTGCGGCGTCATCAACCAAGTTGACGAGGTATGTATACAGTTGTTCGCGCATGGTCGGTCCTTCACTGTTTTGGCGTTAGGTTAATTTACGACGCCTCGGGGGATTAGCGGAGAACAAGTATGAAAGCCGTCTATGTTCGAACCCGAGGCTATGGCACAGGTCGAACGTTTGCCGAGACGCGGCGTTAGAAAAGAAGTCTTCATGGCCTACGATGAAAATTGTGTTGTCTCCCTCACGCTGAAAAATGGACGGGGACCAGGTGCTAATCAGCACCTTGTCCGATGTGCTACATATACATCTCTGTTGCCGATTGCCGCTGCCCGTGTCTCTACGAGAGTTGAAATTGTTGCCTCTTCTGAACCCTGCTGTTTTGTCCTGTCCCTCCGCGCGACCCCTGCTACGTCCTCTGTTTTTGCGGTGCGTGTGTAAAAGGAGCTGTACAGAGTTTTCACGAACAGGTTGAGGGACGCGAACGTGATCACCCCAACGTACCCGAGGACTCAGGTCGCCCTGTCCATCCCCCGGCGGAGGCTTTTGTACTACATCGCCGGGTGGGTGCTGAGCAAGATTGTCACTCACGTCAGGCGGCACAACATCCAGGAGATTGAGTGGATGTGGATCGTAGATCGCCATAAGTACCCGTCCAAAAGAGCCGCAGAGGAGAACGAGATGGAGCTGAGAGGCGTCACCGAGGAGGTACAGCGGAGGAACGACCCCACGCGACCTCGGGGTCTGGTGTTTGTCACGAGTCTGTTACAGGAGATTGAGTGGATGTGGATCGTAGATCGCCATAAGTACCCGTCCAAAAGAGCCGCAGAGGGGAACGAGATGGAGCTGAGAGGCGTCACCGAGGAGGTACAGCGGAGGAATGACCCCACGCGACCTCGGGGTCTGGTGTTTGTCACGAGTCTGTTTCTCAAGTTGCTCTTAACGCTAGAATCTGGGTACTTCCATGTCCTGTCCCAGCCCGCTTTCTTGGGGTCGTATCTGGGTAATTTGCCGGAGGAGATTCTGCGGTTGGTGAGCGAGTCACCCACGGTCCAGAGGGCGTGGGATGCTTGCTGCCAGGCTCGTGAGGGCGGGAGCTTTCATGCCGATCCCGAAATGAGGATGAAG